GAGCGGCGTAGGCGTCTCGATACAAAAGCGGGGCACGAGTGAATTCGGCAGCTTCCTTGGCAGTGGCATCGGCGAGCGAGTTGCCCACGCGCTGCCTGCAAGTGACGAAACCTCGCTCGAGGTCGGCCGCCGTGGTGTGGGCCTTGACTTTGCACAACCGAAGAGCCTCCACCCCACCACGATCCTCAATCGCGGCCCACACCAGGCGCCAGAGATCTGCCCAAGCAGCTCTGGCCGAAAGACAGTATAGCTTGCCACGCCTGAAGACTCCATCATGGACGAACTGCGAGTCGGTCCAAAACGTGGCACTTGGAAGAGCAAGCCGCAGAGCTCGGAGGAACGCCCAGAGCTCTACGGCGTCGGTATCGTAGAGACCAGGAGGCAAGCCACCAGCCAGGACGGCGACAGAGACAGGCCTGTCGTCGTGCAGGGCGACCACGGCCCATCCTAGACTATGCGCCTCTGGTGGCAGGTGTCCGTCCAGGAGGCTGCCGTCCAAAAAGAGGTCTCCGTCCAGCAGACCAGGGTGCCCCTTGAGCCAAAGCTCGTCGGGAGGAACAGGGCGAGCAGGCGGAGGGGCAGGCAGCGGCAGCAGCAGCCTCTCAGCGAGAAGACGGACAAGGGGGTGCCCGAGGTTCTGAACCAAGGAGGTGGCCACGGCTGGAGTCTCCATCTGAAAGACTTCGGCGTGTCCAGGGCAGGCCAAATGCCTGTGGGCCAGGGTCCCTGGAGAATTAGAGCACAACTGACACTGGGAGATGGCAGACAAGCGATGCTCGGCTTGCTTGGCTTGAGGCCACTGACCACCGGCAACGACGGAAACGACGTAACCCCTCTCGTGGGCCTCAAGCCGTTGCATGCCAGAAAGCACAGGGGCGAGCATGGGGCCTCTGCCGAACTCTGGCATATTGAGATGCTCGGCAACTCGCTTCCAACACCAGCTCTGCACAATGCGCTCAAGATGCCGCGCGACGGCCCTGGGGCAGAGCTCAAGGAGCGAGAAGCGGCCAACGCACTCGTGCGAGAGAACTAAGCCGTCGAACGTAATGCCGAGACGACGGGCGGAGGCAACACAACTAGTGAAAGGCCCTCGGATGGACCTCCAGGGCACAGAGGTGTTCTCAAGGGCCTGGTGAGCTCCGTCGAGGCCAGCGAGGATGAGCGGGATGGGCACCCAGGACTCCCACACAGCAGCAGCGAGGTGCAGGAGGGGAGCAGCACACAACTTGTAGGCAGGATCGACTTTTTTGACGCCAGCCATGTGCAAAAGAAGCGTAACAGAGCGTCCATCCAGCTTCTGTGACTGAACGCTGGCCTGCAGGAACCGCGCCTCGCGCAGCTCGGTGTCGGTCGTCCCCATCACCCCCGACCCATAGGAGGTGGAGGCCTGGACGGCCGCACGGACCATGTTGTGGAGAGCTCGCCTTCGGAGCTGTCCCGCCAGCGATGTTATCTTTCTCTGTCGTGCCACCGCTGCCGTGCGGCGGCCACGCTTGGTGACTCGACGAATTACACCACCTGCAGCATAATCAACGCCTAGATTGCGCTCGCTCTGTACTGGGAGAACCTGCAGAGGGCGAAGGACGGAGGCGAGCCGCCTCCGCAGCCGAACGTGTGAAGCGAGCAGCCGACTCTTGGGGCGGCTCACGGGAAGATGCGCGGCCTGCAGCTCGTGGTGAAGCATGGTGGTGGCTCGATCAAGACACTGGTGGACTCGATCCTCCGAACCAACCTTGTGCAGCGCAAAGTCGTCTACCACCACTCCAAGCTGCACTTCTTCTGCAGTCTGGCGGGGGAACGCCGCCTGGACGGCATCGAGCGGAGCCAAGACGACCATCTGCAGGCACAGAGTGGCGAACTGACAGCCAGCCAAGACGGCTTGCTGCGTACAGATCGGTGCGGAGTTCATCCCTGCATACTCTAGCACCCTAGGTGCTCTGTAAAGTGCAATCAGCAGCCGCAGCTGTCTCAGTGGAAAGTTGGAGCGACGTGCCGCCTCCAGCAGCACGCCGTGTCGGATATTCTCGAACGCCTTGCGGAGGTCGAGCAACACTGTGCCCGCCGTGAGATTGCGCCCGACGGCCCACTCCGCAGTGGCAGCCTGGATCCACACGAGGCGCCCCGACCCCCTCCCCGACGTCGACCACCAGAAATCCCGAAAGTTCTCTTGCTGCCACTGCTGGAGAAGGGGACGCCGCAGGCGCCCCTGGACGCGCGCACAGATGTGCAGCAGCGCAATTGGGCGAAGCCCGCCTGCGCGCTGCATGAGAAAAACTATCTTGGTCCACATGCGTGGCCAAGTGAATGAACCTTCGATGGCTAGCAACAGCTGTCTAAAGCACTCGAGGCCTGCGTCGCTGAACTCATCGAGCTGGCGAGGACTGATCTGATCGAAGCCGGCTCCGCTGGCTGGCTTGAAAGAGCGCAAGCAAGCGCGAAGGTCAGCTAGAGAGAAGTCTGGCAGCGGCGGCCCCATGTCCTGGGGCCAGCACAGAGAATCCTCCAACTCCCCCACACACCAGTACCGACTCCACTCCTCCGCTAACAGGCGCATCTCCTGCTCCTGAGAGGCGGGCGCGCTACGAGGCGCCCCCTCCTCGTCAAAGGACGGGCTGGAGTGCCAGGGAACAACAGGCTTGGAGAGTGAGAAAAGCGCGCCACCACCGGCAGCACTGTGCTTGCGGACCCAATCTCGCCACTCCTGATCACGACGCTTTTCGCCGATCCTCTGGTGATGGGCAGCGAGATCTCGCGCCTCGTGCGCGAGGAAACTAGCAAGGCCCCAGTCCACGTCAGCGGCTACATAAAGAAGACCCAACCACGGCCCCACAAGGGCCAAGGGCAGGGAGCCCGCGGAGTGCCGTAGCCGCCGACACGCACTGAGGGTCGAAACTCGCTCACAGAGTTTCTGACAGTGAGAGAGCTCCTGCAAGACCTGACTGAGCGCACGAAACCAGACAGCGGCGTTGGAAGTGCGAGGAAAGGGCAGCTGCCTGGGCGGGGGAGGCCTGCGCCTCTGCACGCACCGGTGCAACCATGCCGTGGGCACGTTGGGGTGTGTTAGAATGCTCCTCTGGGTCTGGTGGGGTCTCTTCAATGCTTCTAGGCCCGAACCTCTGCCGCCCGAAATTCCCTGCTCAAAGACAGCCGAGCCCCCAAGATGGCCTCAAGATGCCCAAGAGGCCCCCAAGGTTCTCCAAGAGGGAGAGCCCAAGAGGGCTCACGAGGCCACGGAGACCCAATACAAATTAGTCTAAGACGGCCCAGAAGGTCCTCAAGCAAACGTTTTCTTATTCGGCATTTCGACACTGGGCGGAAGGGGGGGGAGGTCTGGCTCCAGACCTCTGCTCAGTGCGGCTGTTTGCAGCAGTTCGTCCTATCGGGGGGACTCCACCTGCTTGGAAAAGGCGCCAACCACAGCCAAGATCTACTCCACAGGGGGGGAGGGAGGGAACAAGGGACGATCACCAAGAGGGCCCAAAGACGACCAAAGGGGGCTCCAACATGGCCCCAAGAGAGAAAGAACAAGATCGAGTTTACGACCCACGCGAGTTCAGACCGCGCGCTGAACAGGCGTGGGTCACACACTCACCCTAATGACAAGAGCGGCGAAGATGGCCCAATGAGTTCGTGAAGACAAGAGTGCTCCCCCAAGATACCCCAAGACGCCTGCAATAGAAGCCAGAAAAAACATCAACCGAGGTGCTCAGAGGAGAACGCG